ATATATATATACATATATATATATATATATATATATATATATATATATGAAGAGTTAATTTGCAAAAACCGATAACTGCAGTTGGGTTGTTTTGATTAAGTAATAATAACTTAAAGTTGCTGCCGACTTTATTTCAGTGTAGTGACGTACTTCCAGCTGAAACGGAATACTGAAAAGAAGGCATGGTTTTATTTTTGTGCTCCTCCTCTCTGTCTCTCACTCATAGCAATCTAACGGTTGGAGGGGTGTGTTTAAGGATATTCTGCCCAAGCCGTCAAACTGACGTCATCAGAGAAGGAATGCCAGAGTGGAAGCAAATGGTCAGATTTTGATTAAAGATTACCAAGACAAACAATTTTTTTCAGCGGATTAACTTGCACGGATTAATTGTTCACATCAAGACTAGCAATGTGCGCTAGTAAAGTAATAATGTACTATACATACTGGTAATGTATAGCCTGAATGCACTGTAAGTCGCTTTGGATAAAAGCGTCTGCTAAATGCATAAATTGTTAAATTAAATTATAGTAAAGTAAATAAAGTTAATTTTGATTTCATGCGGACTTTAAACAAATACAGGTAATTTACTAAATTAAAGTTCAATTGAAAGTATGTTTTATTTTCTTTTTACATATTAAAAGTTTGTTTTATAGCAAAAGCAGATAACTCCAACAGTCGTTTTTTTGGCTAAAGCAGATAACGCCACATTTCGTGTTTTAGAGTGTTCGTGTTTAAACTCCTCTCACCTAGCACGTCTTTTCAAAGTGAAAGTAGCCTTGTCACCTGACCTGAATGACCTGAATCACTAAAATGGACTAAACGGCTTGAAAGTATGTTTTATTTTCTTTTTACATATTAAAAGTTTGTTTTATAGCAAAAGCAGATAACTCCAACAGTCGTTTTTTGGCTAAAGCAGATAACGCCACATTTCGTGTTTTAGAGTGTTCGTGTTTAAACTCCTCTCAGCTAGCACGTCTTTTCAAAGTGAAAGTAGCCTTGTCACCTGACCTGAATGACCTGAATCACTAAAATGGACTAAACGGCTTGTTCTGTTCAAAAACAACAAGGGCGCTTGTCGGCTTCTGCAGTAAAACATGAACTCACGATGCCTTGAAAGTGGACAAAACCGGCTTTTTTGACAAAACGTGTTTAGGGTTTAGATCACGCTATATGTGGATTTTTTTTAAAAGTGGCGTTTATCGGTTTTTGCCGAGATGATCCATCAACCTCACAGGTGTGGCATATCAAGATGCTGATTAGAGTTTCCTGAGCCTTCAAAATGGTCTCTCAGTTTGGTTCACTAGGCTACACAATCATGGGGAAGTCTGCTAATCTGACAGTTGTCCACAAAACAATCATTGACACCCTTCACAAGGAGGGTAAGCCACAAACATTCATTGCCAAAGAAGCTGGCTGTTCACAGAGTGCTGTATCCAAGCATATTAACAGAAAGTTGAGTGGAAGGAAAAAGTGTGGAAGAAAAAGATGCACAACCAACCGAGAGAACTGCAGCCTTATGAGGATTGTCAAGCAAAATCGATTCAAGAATTTCCAAATTCCATTTTTTGGAAAATAATTTCCTATTATTATTATTAAATATATAAACATAATTATTTTATTAATGAATAATAGTAATAAAAATGACAAAACTACTAAAACTTCTAACATTAAAATGAAGACAGGAAATATAAAAAATATCAAAATCAAAATATTAATTAAAAATATAGTAGCATATCAAAGATGCTAAAATAGCATTGGTGTAAAGGGGTCTGTAATCAAGCATTGTAGTTTGTGTGAAAAGGCCTTCAGATGGTTCACAGAGAATTAAGAGGATGGGTTGGTTTAATTAATTCACATGATGTGGTGCGTGTGTGTCTTTCAGCTCATCTGTGATACACGTCCCAGGAGTCAATGACATCCAGTCCACAGCCGGTTCAGCTGGACAGAACCTGACCCAGATCTCCCGGCAGATCAACGCCGGCCAGGTGTCCTGGACAGGAAGCCGACCTCCTTTCCCCGGCCAGGTGAGAACGATCCCATCATTGGCTTTGTGTGACTCCGCTGCCCACTGCCGCTCTGATCTCCATTAGCTTAATTACAGTAATGGAATATTCCTCTTTAGTTTTGTGATGAGAGAACTGAATCCAGGATGTGGAGCAATGGCTGAAAAAGATCATTCAGGGCTCAGTAATTAGTTCACACTTGCATAAAAAATATCTGTACATATATATATATACATATATACATATATATATATATATACAT